TTAGAATTCTAAATTTTCTTCCAACAGAAAAACTTTTTGACACCTTATTACCAACTAACAGTAGTGTTAATTATTATTAAACACAGATTGATCACCTTGTTCTGAGTCATTGCACTAACATAAATCGAGGGAAAGTTCAACTCAAATATTCTGTTTAGTTGAGTGGCAACGCTTCATAAATAATAGATTATTTTAGTTGCACTATTATGTAAAGCAAGAAGTTAAAATAAGTTAAAATACGTTTCAAACAACTTTCTTTTAAAAAAAATTTATAAAATCCTGCTAAACTAGAAAGAAAAAGAACATCTATAAATGAGGACAACAGTCTTCTGCTAAATGACACCATTTTGAAGCTCCCGATAAATTTAATAAAGACAGTATTTTAATATCGGGTAATTTTGCAGAAGGAAATTGCGAAACTGTATGCAGCGCGGTGTTTCCCGCAATTTTCGCAACTTATGACCACAACCACTGTTTCCATCAGTTCAACTCAACTGGTATTTTAGCCTTCCATCAATTTTTTCAATTCTCATTTCTAAGCTAGAGCCTATCGTCTAGAAAAGGAAGAGCAGTCGAAGAACAGAAGGATGAAAAACAAGAAGATGAGAAAAATAGGAGGAAATACTGTCTTTTTTGTAGAAAGAAAGAGGTCAGGAGAAGGTGGGAACGTCTGGTAGTCGGAAAATACCGCTGCTGGACAAAGCTGAGTATAACTGCATGCAAACTAAGTCAGCTATAAACGATTTTTAGATCGGTATTTAGTTTATCGCTGCAAAAATTTTTATCAAAAAAAAAGTTTAAAATTTACAGCAGTCAGCAAGAAAACAAAAATATTTTATTGTTTTTGTCGAGCACTGTTGGTCAAATTGAATAGCTTCTAAATGTTTAGACTCTGACAACACTTTATTGGAATAGCGCAAAGAGTAAATGACCATCAAGATGACTCACTTTTTGTTGATAATCACTACTTTAGCTATTGTATATTTAATGACCTTTAATTCACACCGTCGCTCTTCTAATGACATCTTTCACTAGTAAAGACTAAGCAGTTTTAGGTAGAGAATATAATTAAATGCATTCATCTAAAAAACTAGATCAAAGTATCACAGCTGCTTTTTCTTTTTCTTTTCTTCCTTTTTTTTTTGGCAATTCACATGCATAATAAGCCGTACCACTACACTTTTGAATTTTAAAAATCTCTATTGCGTAGAATAAAAAATGTCCTTATTCTCGTAATGACTAATCAGATAAGCTTGAATAAGTTTTCATAACTCTAAAAAACACGCTAGTAAGTTTGGCAACCCTATATTTTGAAGCCCTAAACATGTTACCTTTTCTTTAGTACTATGATTAAAGACTTGCTATAATCTCCATTATTATATCTTAACTTTAAAAATTAAAAAATAGTGGAAA